TCAGCGCGGCCTCTATCCGTGACACGCTCGCAGATCGTGGCAGGAGTGGCACTTTCTCGACACCACAGGGGGTGCGCAGAGGGTGGTCCCTCAGCGCGGCCTCTATCCGTGACACGCTCGCAGATCGTGGCAGGAGTGGCACTTTCTCGACACCACAGGGGGTGCGCAGAGGGTGGTCCCTCAGCGCGGCCTCTATCCGTGACACGCTCGCAGATCGTGGCAGGAGTGGCACTTTCTCGACACCACAGGGGGTGCGCAGAGGGTGGTCCCTCAGCGCGGCCTCTATCCGTGACACGCTCGCAGATCGTGGCAGGAGTGGCACTTTCTCGACACCACAGGGGGTGCGCAGAGGGTGGTCCCTCAGCGCGGCCTCTATCCGTGACACGCTCGCAGATCGTGGCAGGAGTGGCACTTTCTCGACTACTTCTTGGCTCGCAGAGGGTGGCACACTGCGCAGAGAGCGTCTATCCGTGCTCACGCTCGACAGATGAGTGGCAGAGTCGGCAGAGACACCACAGGGGTGCGCAGAGGGTGGTCCCTCAGCGCGGCCTCTATCCGTGACACGCTCGCAGATCGTGGCAGGAGTGGCACTTTCTCGACACCACAGGGGGTGCGCAGAGGGTGGTCCCTCAGCGCGGCCTCTATCCGTGACACGCTCGCAGATCGTGGCAGGAGTGGCACTTTCTCGACACCACAGGGGGTGCGCAGAGGGTGGTCCCTCAGCGCGGCCTCTATCCGTGACACGCTCGCAGATCGTGGCAGGAGTGGCACTTTCTCGACACCACAGGGGGTGCGCAGAGGGTGGTCCCTCAGCGCGGCCTCTATCCGTGACACGCTCGCAGATCGTGGCAGGAGTGGCACTTTCTCGACACCACAGGGGGTGCGCAGAGGGTGGTCCCTCAGCGCGGCCTCTATCCGTGACACGCTCGCAGATCGTGGCAGGAGTGGCACTTTCTCGACACCACAGGGGGTGCGCAGAGGGTGGTCCCTCAGCGCGGCCTCTATCCGTGACACGCTCGCAGATCGTGGCAGGAGTGGCACGTTCTCGACACCACAGGGGGTGCGCAGAGGGTGGTCCCTCAGCGCGGCCTCTATCTGTGACTCGCTCGCAGATTGTGGCAGGAGTGGCATTTTCTCGACACCACAGGAGGTGCGCAGAGGGTGGTCCCTCAGCGCGGCGTCTATCCGTGACACGCTCGCAGATCGTTCTCGACACCACAGGGGGTGCGCAGAGGGTGGTCCCTCAGCGCGGCCTCTATCCGTGACACGCTCGCAGATCGTGGCAGGAGTGGCACTTTCTCGACACCACAGGGGGTGCGCAGAGGGTGGTCCCTCAGCGCGGCCTCTATCCGTGACACGCTCGCAGATCGTGGCAGGAGTGGCACTTTCTCGACACCACAGGGGGTGCGCAGAGGGTGGTCCCTCAGCGCGGCCTCTATCCGTGACACGCTCGCAGATCGTGGCAGGAGGGCACTTTCTCGACACCACAGGGGGTGCGCAGAGGGTGGTCCCTCAGCGCGGCCTCTATCCGTGACACGCAGGCAGGTGGCACAGGGGGTGCGCAGGGTGGTCCCTCAGCGCGGCCTCTATCCGTGACACGCTCGCAGATCGTGGCAGGAGTGGCACTTTCTCGACACCACAGGGGGTGCGCAGAGGGTGGTCCCTCAGCGCGGCCTCTATCCGTGACACGCTCGCAGATCGTGGCAGGAGTGGCACTTTCTCGACACCACAGGGGGTGCGCAGAGGGTGGTCCCTCAGCGCGGCCTCTATCCGTGACACGCTCGCAGATCGTGGCAGGAGTGGCACTTTCTCGACACCACAGGGGGTGCGCAGAGGGTGGTCCCTCAGCGCGGCCTCTATCCGTGACACGCTCGCAGATCGTGGCAGGAGTGGCACTTTCTCGACACCACAGGGGGTGCGCAGAGGGTGGTCCCTCAGCGCGGCCTCTATCCGTGACACGCTCGCAGATCGTGGCAGGAGTGGCACTTTCTCGACACCACAGGGGGTGCGCAGAGGGTGGTCCCTCAGCGCGGCCTCTATCCGTGACACGCTCGCAGATCGTGGCAGGAGTGGCACTTTCTCGACACCACAGGGGGTGCGCAGAGGGTGGTCCCTCAGCGCGGCCTCTATCCGTGACACGCTCGCAGATCGTGGCAGGAGTGGCACTTTCTCGACACCACAGGGGGTGCGCAGAGGGTGGTCCCTCAGCCCGGCCGCTATGCACGAAGGTCGTCCGTGGCATAGCAGGCGTGGCATTTTCTCGGTGTCATAGGGGGTGCGCAGGGGGGGGTCCCTCACCGCGGCCGCTATGCACGACGGTCGTCCAGGGCATAGCAGGCGCGGCATTTTTCCGACACCATAGAGGCTGCGCAGGGGGTGGTCCCTCACCGCGGCCGCCATGCACGACGGTCGTCCAGGGCATAGCAGGCGTGGCACTTTCTCGACACCATAGAGGGTGCGCATGGCCGCTGGCTGGCTCGAATCTGTCATCGATGGAGGATAGAAGGCTAGGAAGAGGGAAGAGGTTCAAGCAATAAGCAATATGGCGTTGGATGACACAGAGGGGAATATCCGCGACGAGGGCTGAGAACGCAGAAGTGCGCATATATTATTAAATTATCCCAGTGCGACCCTACCTAGGAGTTGGAGCCCCTAGGAAAGCAGCATTAGCAGTAACAGTAAAGCTAGACTAAAGCTAAGCTAAAGCTAAGCTAAAGCTAAGCTGAATATAAGCTAAAGCTAAGCTAAAGCTAAGCTAAATCTTAGCTAAAGCTTAGCTAAAGCTAAGCTAAAGCTAAGCTAAAGCTAAGCTATATCTAAGCTAAAGCTAAGCTAAAGCTAAGCTAACGCTAAGCTAAACGTTAAAGCTAAGCTACAGCTAAGCTATAGCTAAGCTAAAGCTAAGCTAAAGCTCAGCTAAAGCTAAGCTAACGCTAAGCTAAAAGCTAAAGCTGAGCTACAGCTAAGCTAAAGCTAAGCTAAAGCTAAGCTGAAGCTAAGCTAACGCTAAGCTGAAGCTGAGCTCAAGCTAAGCTAAAGCTAAGCTAAAACTAAGCCAAAGCTAAGCCAAAGCTAAGCTAAAGCTAAGCCAAAGCTAAGCTAAAGCTAAGCTAAAGCTAAGCGAAAGCTAAGCCAAAGCTAAGCCACAGCTAAGCTAAAGCTAAGCTAAAGCTAAGCCAAAGCTAAGCTAAAGCTAAGCTAAAGCTAAGCGGAAGCTAAGGTAAAGCTAAGGTAAAGCTAAGCCAAAGCTAAAGCTAAAGCTAAGCTAAAGCTAAAGCTAAAGCTCCCAGGGGACTGGGGGAACCGCGGGGCGGGGACTGGGGGAACCGCCCGGGGCGATTTACACTGCCCGGCCCCTTTAAGCTAAGAGAGTAAGAACCCTCTAGGCAGAGCCTAGGTAGGGAACTTAAGCAATCACATAAGATTTAAATTAAGTCTGTGGGGTTCCTCGGTCGCGTAATTCTTGTTCGAAGCGGAACTCTGTGTAGAATCTACGTGGTGCAAGTTGTCGGGCGCGATCGATATGGTGCACCCCATAGAATGTAGTATGCATAGTTATCTTCTCTTGGAAACATGTCGTGGCCTTCTGGGGTGTTGCATTATGCGGAGTGCAGCATACGTGGTACAGTCTACGTGGTGCAAGCTGCGCAGGTGCAGATTATGGATGCAATCCATGTGGTGGCGCAGTCTCCGCGGTGCAATCTATGGAAAGCAATCTATGTGGTGCAGTCTATGTGGTGCCAGCTGTGCATGCATCGGATACGCAAGCCAGTTACGCCGCAAGCCAGCGAACGAGGCGGCCATACCGGGCGAAACCCCGGTAATGCCAGTCAGCGCCTGGGCTGTCCACGAGGCGACCACGGGCGAGCACCAGACGAACAACGTGGAAACACCCACCAGTGCAAGGGGCGGCCAGCGAAAAGAAGGAAGCACTGTTTGGGGAGCATTGTTTGGAGAGCCGCTGCGTAACCATGAATGTTCTGAGGTCCGCACGCCCGGCGAGGGGGGCCCAGCGCCGACCGAAGAAGTCCGCGCGTACCTCCCCAAAGTTTTTGCTAATGGCAGGTTCGCGCCGCGCCGACGCGCCGGCGAGCCCAGCGCGGCGTTCAAGGTTGAACGCCGCTGGTGGTCCGGAGTCGGCCGATACCGGACGATCTGCGCTACTGGAAGGCCGCGATCGCTCAACGGTGAGCGGTCCATTCGGCGTTGGAAAAGCGCAACGCACGAGTCATCACATCACGCACCTACCCGTGTGCCGCTTCCTAGTCTTGCGTGCAGACAAGACGCTGAAGGCGGGACCATTGTGGACTCAGGAGGGGCTCTGAGTTTGGGACCATTCCTTTTATATTAAGGTCGGGACCCATTCATCGCTGAGGCTCGCCGCGGCCAGAACAGCCCCTTTCGTTTCTTATTTGGCGTTCCTACTGTCCAGGCCTCCCAGATGGGGTCGGAGTAGACGGGACAGGAGAAATGCGCCGCATCGCCGATGCATCGGCGATGCGACTCGATGTGCAACCCGATTTTGTCCACGCCGACGGCTCCGATCTGTCGCCGACGTCGCCGATGCATCCGCGATGCATTGGCGATGCGGCACGATCCTCCGACCCCATGATAGTGGCAGCACGATGGACTGCATCCGCTCCTCCTTCCATGCCCTCCTTCGTGTAATGCTGTTCTACCGGCTCCTCGTGGCCGTCATGGCGGTCAGCGCGTGCGTTTTTAAGACATCGTGTCATGGTCATGTTCGTAGTCGTACTCCTCAGGCGATGCTTAAGAAAACCCAAGTTTTCGGCCAGAGTCTCGACTATTCTTAATGTTTCAATGTAAATCCTAAGGTTTTGATATGAATTTTGGGTATTTGTTCAAGTTCTGAGACTCTGAATGTCTTAACCCATGATTTCTGGAGCATTTCGCAAGGTGTACTCCAGGAAAAGGGGGGCCAGCGCCTGCGGTGAGCACCTCCCGCGCGGGGGGCGGGGGGTCCTGCCCCCGCGGGCGAGGCTGCAGCGGATGATCGAGGGCAGAGGCGGCCAGCAGCGCGCCCGGCCCGGGTCCCGAGAGGATTGGGGCCGGCAATGTTCTTGAGGTGTTCAAAATCGGGGGTGGACAGAACCCCCAATAGTGACACGTCGACTAGTGAATTGTCCGTTTTTGGTTCTCGAGAGAGCGCCGTGGCCGTTATTTTCCAGGCCTGCGCCCGCCAGGTTTGGGCCTCAGGTCGTTTTCACTAAACCACGTTTTGCTAAAGGGGGGTCTGTCCATCCCCGACAAATTTCCCTGAGGGCTTGACGACTCTTCGCCAAACGACTTGTGGGGATCGAGCCGGATAAACCCAGGTAAATGCAGACAAATCCAGGCAAATGCAGATACATCTAGATAAATTCAGGGAAATCCGAGTAGGTCCAGGTAAATCCAGAGATCTTCAGGGACAGTTGGAGCAAATTGCGGCCGCTCTAGCGCGAGTCGAAGGACGGCAGAAGTCGTTAAGCCTTCAACGAGTGTTCAGAAGTGGGGCCGTGCAGTGGAGGAAAAGGTGCCGATACCGCTGCCCGTCCTGGAGAGCTGTCGTTTTCACGGCCGGTCTCTTTTCGAAGTCATGGTCAGAACGTCCCTTGGGAGAGATTCGGGGAGCAGCAGGATCAGTACCATTGTGTTCCCTCAGTAGTGGGCAGGGGGGTTGGATACGTATCATGGCCGGGCCCCATGAAATCGCCCACGTCTGGCCCCCTTCTTCTTTCACGGCGTTTTCTGGCCCCCATTCGTCCGCGCACATGTCTCGGGCCATGATGCGCACCCCCCTCTTCCTGGCCCTCCAGGCAGGCGCACCCGAAGCTCGCCCCTTCCTCCTCTGATGCTCTGGGGCACCCACAAGGATCGGGCGCGGTCCAACCGACCCCAAGCAGGCCATCCCCTTCCGTGACGTCCCGCTCGCCTCGTGCCGAGACGTATGTATGCGGCCAGAGGGAAGTTTGAAAGGCGAGGTTCACGTCGCGGAAGGGATGGTTTGCTAGGGGTCGGTTAGGCCGCGCCCGAAAAGATGGCGGGAACAAGGGGGACGAAGACCAGCAGCAGTTCTTGTTCGCTTTGAACAGAGCCCAGTGGTCGGCGTCGCCGCGCATGATGCACATTTGAGGCAAGCGCCGCCGGCCCAACATTGGCGGCCGTCGGTCTTCGGCAATGGGACGTTCTTCGAGTTCCATGTATTCCTCCTTTTCCGTGCGGACTCCAGAGACGAGGGCTGCTGGATGCTCCAGATCTTTTGGAGCGCATCTTGAGCCGATTGCACCATGACGTGACTCTCGCCCAAGGGAGGCCCCCTCGACCTGTGCCATTCCAGAGGCCCGTCTCGGCCACGCCTCATCATCCTCTCCCTCCTTTCTATGCCCTCCTTTTCTCCCTCCTCCTGCTCCTCCTCCTCCTCCTCCTCCCCGTCATCGTCCACTCGGGGAGGTCATGGGTCATGGGGGAGGGGGGGTGACCCTGCCAGGCGACTCCTCTGGGGTCGGCCTCCCCCGTGAGTCAGTCGCCAGCGGCACGCGGAATGGCAGTCGTCTATCGAAGATGTTGCGGCGAGCGGAAGAGAAAGGTCTTGGAAGGACGGTGGGGCGGCGGGGCAAAAGTTATGCAGAGGATGGAGGAAGGGTGGCGGGGGCGGCGGGATGGAAGCCAAACCGTGAGGCGCAGAATGTAGACAGAAAGGCCAACGGGGGAGCTGGCCACTCCGCGAAGAGGGCTCTCTGGGACGCCTGTCAGCGCCTCTTATAGGCATACTTGGTCGTATGTTGTCCTCTCCGGGGCCTCTTGGGGCTTCTTGGGAGCCTCCTGGGGGCCTCTCGGGCTAGAAAGCCCAAGGTCGCTAGGGACAGGCGTCCTCCCCAAACGGCCCCAAACCCTCCTGGGACCGTCAGAAAAGTTTCCTGGAACCCTTCGGGGAGGGTTTTCGGATGACTTCGGGATGGGTTCGGTCGTTTTGGGGGAAACCAGTCCCTAGCATTCGGGGCATCAGGGTGGCGTCTTGGGGGCTTCCTGGGGGCCTCCTGGAGCTCTCGTACGGAGGAGGGCTCCAGAGGCCTCTGCGGTAGCCCTCCCTCTTGTACCGGTACCCTTCGCGGGGCCGCCCCGTGGGCGCGCTTCGCCGCGGCAGCTGGCCTGTCGGCTCGAGGAGGGGGGAACTGCGCGGTTCGGCGAGGTAGCTCGCCCCATGATGATGATGATGATGATGATGATGATGATGATGATGATGATGATGATGATGATGATGATGATGATGATGATGATGCGGATGCGGATGCGGATGCGGATGCGGATGCGGATGCGGATGTTGATGATGATGGTGATGATTATGATGATGATGGTTATGGTGATGGTGATGGTGATGGTGATGATGATGATGATGGTGATGTTGATGGTGATGATGTTGGTGATGTTGGTGATGGTGATGCTCTGCTGATGATGATGGTGATGCTGATAACGTTGGTGATGGTGATGCTGATCATGCTGATGGCGATGATGGGGATGATGATGATTACGAGGGTGATGAGGGTGACGGTGGTGAGGATGATGATGATGATCATGCTGATGTTGATGATGATGATGATGATGATGATGATGATGATGATGAGGGTGGTGGTAGTGATGTTGATGGTAATAGTGATGATTATGACGACGATGAAGGTGGTGGTGCTGATGGAGTTTGCTGTGATGATGATGGTGAGATTTGCGATGATGGTGATGATGCTTAGGATGGTGATGGTAATGATGATGGTGGTACGCTGATGATGGCGACGATTGCGATGATGGTGATGATGCTGATGGTGGCGATGGTGATATGATGATGGTGGTGATGAGGAAACGATGGCGACGACGATGGTGATGATGGAGATTACTATAATGATGATGACGATGCCAATGCCGATCACGATGAGGATGATTCTGTTTTATGATGGATAACGATGATGCTGACAACGATGATGATGATGATTGTAATTGTGGTGTTTATGGTAGTAGTGATGATGCTGATGTTGGTGATGATGATGAGGATGATGGCGCTGGTGATGGTGATGGTGACGATAGTGCTGATTATCGTGATGGTGTCTATGGTGATGGTGGTGCTGACGATCTTGATAATTGTTGTGATGATGACCATGGTGATGAGGATGGTTATGATAACGATGATGATGCTGATGATGATGGTGCTGATGATGACGATGACGCTGGCGATGACGACGACGGTGATGGTGATGACGATGACGATGACGATAACGGTGACGACGACAACGTAGATGATGATGAGGAGAAGGAGGAGGATGAGGAGGAGGAATATGAGGACGAGGATGAGGATGAGGATGAGGATACGTATGAGGATCAGGATTAGGATGAGGATGCGGATGAGGAGGATGAGGATGACGATGAGGAGGATGAGAGCTATGAGGATGAGGATTAGAATGAGGATCACATATGAGGATGGTGCTGGTGATGATGCGGATGTTGATGATGATGATGACGATGATGATGACGATGGTGATGATGGTGATGACGATGGTGATGATGATGGTGGTGATGGTGAGTTCGATGGTGATGACCATGATGGAGATGATGGAGATGGTGCTGATGATGGTGATGGTGATGGTGATGGTAGTGACGATGATGACGATGACGATCATGCTGATCGTAGTTGTGATGATAATGATGATGGTGATGATTGTAGCGATTGTGTTGAAGATACTGGAGATGACGACGATGCTTGTGATGACGATATGATGATGACGACGATGATAAGGACCGATGGCGATGACGCTGACGATGAGGCTGATGCTGATGATTGTGATGGTGGTGATGATGATGTTGATGATGAATATTATGATGCTGGTGATGATGATGACGATTCTGATGATTTCAATGATGATGATCATGGTGATGAAGATGATGACGACGACAATACTGATGGTGACGATGATGATGATGATGATGATGCTGATCATGATGATGTTGCTGACGACTATGATGATGATTAAGATGATGACGATGACGATGACGACGACGATGACGATGACGATGATGATGACGATGACGATGACGATGACAATGCAGCTGATTATGCTGATGGTTATGATGATGAAGACGATGATTATGATGATGGTGATGGTGATCATGATGGTGCTGATAGTGGTGATGGTGATGATGATGATGATGGTGATGATCTGATGGTGTTGCTTATGTGATGATGCTGCTGATGAGGATGACGTTGGTGGTGATGATGAGGATCTTCCTACGCAGCCTTCCTGCGGCCTCCTCGTCATCCGTCCTCTTCCTGCTCCTGTCGTGTACGGTTCATCTCTCGCGGTCCAGGCGCACGGCGTGCGGCGAGGAAGAATCGCACGCGTCCTCGAATCCCTCAGAGCCCTCCTGATCCTCGTCCGCTTCCCCTCACGTATCCTGGCCACCACCATCAGCGTCATCATCATCAGCAGCATCAGCACCAGCATCATCGTCAGCATCAGCATGATCAATCGTCAGCGTCATCGTTGTCATCACCATCACCAACATCATCCAACATCACCGTGCATCACCATCGTCATCCTCACCACCATCACCATCGCTTACCACCATCATTCGCCATCATGCATCATCGTCATCACCATCATCATAATAACTGTCATCCTCATCGTGCGTCCACCTCGTCGTGCCTCCTCCTCCTCCTCCTCCTCGGCCTCGTCCTCGTCCTCCTCATGATCCTGCCCCACTGGCCGCGCCTCCCCGCCTCAACCGCAAAAATAATGATCCTGGCGAGGAACCCAACCATCTGCAGTTGTGAATACCGCAATGGTGCGTATCCTCTTCGGTGGAGCTCCCTATGGTGCCACGACCCGCTTGAGGTGTGTGCTAAAATGGACGTCAGGCGCATGCGGACCCTGCAACTGGGGCCTTCGGTGGAGCTCCCTATGAAGCCACGAACCATATGGGGGGTGCGCCAAATTGGGCGTCGGGCGCATGCGGACCCTGCTACTGGGGTCTTCGGTGGAGCTCTCTACGGGGAGGGGTGTGCTAAAATGGGCGCCGGGCGCATGCGGACCTACTGGGGCCGTCGGCGGAGCTCCCCACGGGGCCACGAACCGTGTGAGCGGTGCGCTACCATGGGCGTCGGAGAGAAGAGGCAGGAATGGGAGGAGGGAGGAGGGGGAGGAGGAGGAGGGGGAGGAGGAGAGGAGGAGAGGAGGGAGGAGAGGAGGAGAGGAATGGGAGGAGGGAGGAATGGGAGGAGGGAGGAATGGGAGGAGGGAGGAGGAGGAGGGGAGAGGAGGAGAGGAGGAGAGGTCGCGGGGCCCTGTCTCTTCAAAACGAGGGCCTAACACCACAGGGTGGCTGGGAGACAATGGCCGCCCCGCAGGAGCGCGAGCGCTCGCAGGAGGAGGCGGCCGGCGCCGCGCCGCGCCCTCAAACGAGGGACGGCGGCTGCGCCGGGTCGCCCCACAGGCCGCCCGCCGCCTGCCTCGGGGGCGATGGCCAGAGGGGGGCGATGGCCAGTGGTCCGAGGCGGGGATTCATAGATAACCACCGCCTGTGGGATCGCTCTTCGCGGAGCTCCAGAGGTGGTGGGTATGGACATATTCGGGCCCCCGGGGGGCAACATGTATCCATATCTAACGCCCAGTGGGGCACAAGGACGTTGGTTCCCAGGCGGTGGGCATGGATAAATCCCCGCCTCGCAGGTGGGGGGTGGATGTTCAGCAGCGTTTGTGATGTGGTCCAGTGCTTGAGTCGCGGCGTTGTGCATCCTGGCGAGGCCGTGTCAAGTCCATTCAGGCTCCGTGCCGATGCGGCCCGATTCGATATGCATGCCGATCCGATCCGGTTCTCAGATTCGATGCTGACTCATCCCGCCACAGGCCAACCCTGAGATCTGACGCTGCCAAAAAGTACAACATCGTGAAACATCACGAGCAGAGCCCCAGACCCCATCTTCTTGCGTCATGTTTCGAGCCCGATCGATCTGTGAGGGTCCTGGGGCCCGAAACTGGGGCGCAGGCGCCCGTCGTGAACAAATTGCAGCGCCAGGATCTTAGGGAACGACGGAACGAGACGACCCAGACCCCTGACGTCGTGATTTTGTTCACGACGTCGACCCCCAGAGGTCTCGACTCCTTCCCCAGGCACGGTGTTTCGCGAGTCGTGTTTTGACCGTACTGGGTCCCAGTAAGGGCCCCTGGAGGCCGAAAGTAAAGAAAAACATATCCATACAGTTCTGCATGAGAAATAGGCGTTTGTGGATGTTGTTGGACCTCGACGTTTTGTTTCCGATCGGATCGAAAATAGATTGTCATGTTCTTGTTCCTGACCCGAGGGTGTCCGGGAACGGCGGCGGCGACGGCAGTGGCGGCGGTCGACAGTGCCACCGATCGTCACGATAAGCGTGTGCCTCGATTCGTGAACCCTTACCCGGTTTCCCAGTTGGCTGTGGTAAGGCACGTAGAGTTAGTTGAAGCAGAAGATACGTTGAAATCTGGTGGACACGTTGGGGAGGACTTGCCGTGCGACGTGGAAGAGCGTCAGGTCGCCCTTGCGAGTTCTGCGCGAAGCTCCCCCCCCCGAGGCTGGAGGAGAGGCGAGGCCCCCAGGACGTGGCCGTGCGGCAGGTCGAGGGGGGTGTGCGGCGCGGCTGCTCCGCCCCCGCGCCCGTCGTCGCCCGGAGGGCAGCGGGTCCTGAGGTGTGCGGCCGGCTCTCCGAGCTCTCGGGGCCCTCCCCGGGGCCCGGGCCAGTCAGAGAGCTCAACGGCACCGTAACGGGTACTTACAAACGGGTACTTTGCAATTTTGCCGAGAGTTGCCACTTTGGGGCCTCGTTCTGGCAATGCAGCGTTGCCCGCATCGGGAAGGGTCGGGTTCGCTGGGTCACTGGCCAAAGTACCCGTTAGTGGAGTCCCCGTTTGAGGGGCGCTGAAAAGCGGCCGAGGATGACGATCTCGCCCCGGGAGGGGTCCCGAGGTGCAGGGCCCGCTTCCCCCACGCCAGGTCTGCTCCGCCCCGCGCCCTTTGGGGGTGTGGTCCTCCCGGCGGTCCCAGCATGTCGGAGGAGGGAGAGGTACAACTGCCGCTAGCCTTCGCCCGTGTTCCTCCTTTTCGCCCTCCTGGGAGGCCCTCGTCGCCACCGTTGGATTCGCTTCGAAATCCTGGTCAGAGCGCACCCCGGGCGAGGTCCGCGGAGTAGAGGAATCGGCACATGTTGGGTATCTCTACCCCAAAAAAGAATCACAACCACAATTGGGTGAATTGTTCGAGAGGGCCCTTCGAGGAACCCGCCGACCTCGGCATGAGCAATCTGGTTGTGGTCGTGGTCGGTTTGGCCGTCCTCGAACGCCACGTATGCCGCAACCAGAACTGAGCTGGCTCCGGTGTTCTGACCAGTAATGGCATGCGCAGGACATCCCCCAGGGTGTGTCCTCGACGTGGTTGGGGTCGATTGCTGTCCCCGCAGAGGGGGAAATTCAGAGGATCCTGAGATTTGGAGGCCCCAAGGAAGCGCATTTTTTATTCCCTGGCGAGGACAGGTGTGACCAGGGGTGCGGAGGGAGGGAGGGATGGGAGGGGGCCGGTTACGTCACTATTCGAATTCAGAGGCTCTCGAGCCCAGACAGCGCGATCGCGCTGTCTGGGATCGAGAGCCTCTGAAGAGGGGCTCATTCCCAGACAGCGCCGGCGCGAATCGCGACGTGACCAGGGGACCATGGGAGGAGGGGCGGGGGCCAGTCACGGGCGTTGATACAGCAAAACGAGCTCGGATTCGGGGACACCGCACGGTTTCGGGACTCGGGTCGTTCTTCCAGGACGTCTCGGGCAATCGGTAAGGACCGCGCGGTAGGTCTCCGTGCAGTCCGTCACCGCACGGTTCGGGACCCCTCCCGAGATCCGGGCGCTTGGGCGTTTCCAGGCGCTCCCAGAAGCATTCCCAGGCGCGCAGAGGGGGAGGGGGGGCGGGGCGTGTCTTTCTGTCTGACTGTTACTTTGTCAGTGAATGAAATGGGAGGGGAGGGAGGGGGAAGAGGAGCACGGGGGAGGCCACCTGGCCATCCGCGGCCGCGGGAGAGCGATCCCTACAAGAGAGATCCGACGCTGCGAAACATGCAACGGCGCGACAGATCACGACCGGAGCCCGAGATTCAGTCCTCCTGCCGCATTGTCCGAGACCAAGCGGTGCAGACAGGACGATGAAGCAGAAGATTCACTTTTGGGTTCCGGTGGGGCCGGGGTGTTCTGGCCGTGCCTCAGGAGCCAGATCGTGGAGCCCGTGTGTGGCCTGGGCCCGCCGTCATGGTACAGTCGGCCCAGATTAGTAGGCCGACCCTGCCAGTTCAAGGGCACCCTTGTGTCCCGTGCCTCGCGACATGTGCCTTCCTACACTGCAATGGCGATGTGGCCCTCGGAAGAGTCGGGTCGGGCGAAAGGGGGGGATTGGGAAAGGGGGGGTTACGAAATCTGCTGCATGCAGCTGGTTTCGGCCCCGCCGAGGGGCCCATTCCTCGATACATCGCCGCCTCCGGCGCCGGGAGGCGCCGGGAAAATCAGCTACGTGAGCTGATTCTCAAACCCCCCCTTTGCTATCCCCCCCTTTTGCCCGACCCGAAAGGGTCTTGTGTCCTCTCGCGAGTCCTGCCCAGTCAAGACCGACTGCAGCACGCGGAAGGAGTGTGATGGCGCCGGGGCCCCCATTCGGGTGCCATCGCCCGGCGTGTGAAATCGGGCGTGAGCGCCCGCCATCTCGGGGCACCCCCTCCCCTCTCGACGCCCGTCTCGAGGTTTTTTGTTGGCACGATGGTCGAATATGAAGAATCGGAGGTCTGCGTGGATTTGCGGGATCGACTCCGCGCGCCAGGGAGGGGGGTCCAGCGCAGATCAAGAAGTCCGTGCGGGGTTTCGAAAGGCTGTGTTTATGGAGCAGTTTCTTTCCTATTTGTATCGCCGCGGGGATTGCTCGCCAGGAAGCCTAGCAGAGAGGTGTCCCTCTTGACCTTTTTTGAAGCTAACAGGCAAGCGGATGAGCTTGCTGCCGAGTTTGCCGCACAGTGCCAACCTCCCCATGAACAGAGAAGCAAGATCGAGTTAGTTGACATGTTAGCTGGCGTGGTCCGAAATCACTTGGCGTTCGTTTTCCAGGACTATTCCCTCCACCGCGTCCCACCCCCTCTTCAGCCGCCGAAGGTGCCGATACCTAACGTGATCAAGCATGTGAGGCTTGCCCTGAATCTTACCAGGGCGCTCGCAGGTTCAGAGCAGCAGATCCCTTTGCCACACAAGCAGGTTTGGCAGCGCTCCGTGTGTGACGACCGCACAGGTAAGAAGTTTGCTTCTGACTTTTGAGAACCCCTTGTAATGCCAGTTGTTATTATAGGGATCGTATACATCCGAGGCGAGGTTTTCCCCCTTTTCAGGCTCACTACTGACGCGCCACCGTCGTCGTCCTCGTCCTCGTGCTCGTGCTCGTGCTCATGCTCGTCCTCGTCGTCTTCGTCGTCGTCGCCGTCGTCGTCTTTTTTCTCCTCGTCGTCATCGTCGTCGTCGTCGTCGTGGTCGTCGTCATCCGTGGTCCGTGGTCCCAGTCGTCGAATGCGGCGCGCCTATTCAACTCCCCCTCCCCCATGGGGCATCCGCAGTGCGTCGTCGTTACCGTCGTCGTCGCGTTGTCATTTTCGTCGTGCCGTCGTCGTTGTCGCCGACGACGACGACAACGTCGACGACACGACGACAGCGGGCCTACGCAGCCCCCCCCCCCCCATGGGGCATCCGCAGCAGTGGGTCGTCATCGTCGGCGTCGTCGTCGCGTTGTCGTCCTCGTCCTCGTCCTCGTCCTTGTCCCCGTCTTTTTCGTCCTCGTCATTGTTGTCGTCGTCGTCGTCGTCGACGAGTACAGCGGGCATGCCCTCTCCCCGCCCCCCCTCAGAGCATCAGCGCTGTGTCGTCGTCTGCCGTCGCCGTCGAGGTCGTAGGATGCTGTAGTGGAAGGGGTGGCGGAGAAGGAGAAAGAGGAATCCTTTCCGCCTGCGTTTGTTGCTTCTCCCCCCTTGCCGTTTTTTGTTTGTATCCATGTCGGCACCACCCGCCAACTCCTTCCCTCGCCTCCTCGCTCTTCGTTCTCTCCTATCTGTTGCTCTTGTGGGCCACCCGCCCCTCTGTAGCAGAGCCGCTGCTGCCCCCCTCCGCTGAAGCGGCGGCACATGTGGCACGCCTGTCGCGTTCCTGTTGTCGCGCCGTCGCCGTGCGTTTCCATTTGGTGGGCGCCACCCCCGCGGCAGGGGAACCATTCGTGAATCGCGCGGCCCGCCTGTTTTTGTTAACCGCAAACTGACATCCGGTCGGAGGCCCATCCATGGGCCCCACAATTTGCAAAGGGAGGCCCAGGATTCAATTCTCGACGCTTTGCGTATCCCCACAATCCCATCCAGCAACAGATCGCCAGGCGACTTGCCTTGATCAGGGAAGCGTAAAAACATGCCGTGCAATGACCGCCTTGATTTTTTTTGGGGCCCCTTGGAGCCATATTGGGTACATTTTGGGGGGTTTTCGCGGGACCATTTGGGGCCTTTTTGGGGCGTTCCTGGGTTTGTTTTGGGGGGGCTTGGGAGCCTTGTTGTGGCTCTTTTGAGGGGTCAGGGGGGTATCTCGGGGCAGCTGTGGGCATCATTGTTCAAAAAGAGGGAAAGCCGGAGGTAGGGTCCGGTGGGGTTCGGCCGCCGCATGCTCGCCGTTCCATTGTCTCGAATCTAGTTTAGTGTCTCGCTTCTCTCGCTGTGTTGGCAACTCGGGCCGGCCTGCTTGCACATGGTCTTAGTTGATTTCCGCATGCTTTACTATCCGGGGATAGTGTAGGTACAGTCTCGGTGTGGTGTGAGTCCAGCTCTCTTTCTTGGCTGTCCCGTTCCGACAGATGAAGCGCCATGCATTTTGCTGGGGCATTTTGGAGTACTAGAGGATCCTTGCCGCGAGTGTATGATGCACGGGTTACGTCGTGCGGTTCGGAAGGGTCGCTGCGCCCCCAGCGCGTGTTGGACCTCCCGTGGTCACCACGGGCCGTGGTGGCAGTGCTGCACGCTCGTGGTCATGGATTCTCCTCTTCACCTCCCCTCGCCTCGCCTTGCTCCTGGCGCGGCGCCGATGCAATTCCGTGTGAATTCGCATCGCTATCACCGCCCGAATGTCCGCCCCGTCCTTGACCGCTCGCCCGGGTCATCGTTGTCACAGGCGGATTCTCTTGTTGGCCGCTGTCTTTTCGCGGGGTGCGGAATTTGTCCGCCCAGGCTCGCGTTTCCAGCGAAGTGCGCATGAGTTGTGGCAGCCCCATTGGAGCTTTGCGGTGGTTCCCCATATCCTCTCCAGATAAAAATCCAGGCCCCCTTTTTTTCGGAGGTTCAATAAATGAACCATGTGGCTGTTTTGGAGCGCTCTTGAGCGCTGTTGCGGCCGTTTCGTGTCCCTGTTCAGCTCCTCGTGGTGATGTGTTGGCGCGTCTTGGGCCATCTTGAAGCTGCAAGAGCCGATCGGAAAAGACAATGCGAGAAGGCAAGAAGCATGTATATAATCGTTTCGTTCATTCCGCCGGCTCGCATTGCGTTCGCTGGCGCTTGCCAGCGCGTTCGTGGCCCAT